CCACATGCTAGAAGGAGAGAACCAACAACCCCACCAAGTTGTCCTCTGACCTCCGCCACGTATGCTGTGTGTGTGCACACATGAAACAAACACACAGAAATAAACATCATAAGAATAGTTAAAGAAACAACCAGGATGTCATTTTCTGATTTCAGAAGAAAAATGCTTGTATGTAACATAAAGGAAAGCTAGCATAATGTAACAGTGAATCAACCTGTGAGGAACTTGCAAATTCATTTAACCTGATGTTAGTTGGCCAAGAAAACATGGAAAAGAGAAAGAAGGCCAAATAAAATACCAAGTTTTACTTAAAAATTTTAGGTTATAAATTCCAAGTCACTTGTACCGCTCAAAGTGTGAGTGTGGCACAGAGAAGGATCACACTACTATATTATTACCATTACTGCGAACCACCTGTTAGTAGCTGTAATCGCAGAAGAACAAACACAGAAAGTCCTCATTTCGAGCTTTAGCCCACTCTGCTGCTTTGTATCTCTGTCTGGGACAATAGTTAGGGCCCTTTGTTGTCAAGATTTTCAAGAGCAAAGAGAATACTGTGACCCAGTTCACTAGATTTAGTCTTTCTTTTGTAATTATTTTTTCCATCTGCTTACTGTTGTTTGCCTTTATTCTACACCAAATAGTAACAAGAAGGACTAAAACCTACCTCGATCATTATCTAGGCACTGGATCTGACAAATTTCAACTATTAACTATTCATACAGTTCCCACAGATTTTATTCCAAGGGTTCTCTCATATTCGTTGCTCAGCTTTCAGATTTTACACGTTTGAAGATGCACAGACGTTAATGTTTCTAAACACATTAGAAGGTACCAGGTACAAGCTAGCTGGCACAATTATGACTCCAAGACATCATCAACTAACTGCAGATCCATTTGGACTGCAGAAAATTTTTCAATGCTAACTTATAAAAATGAAAAGGGGTAGCCAGGCATTGGTGGCACATGCCTTTAATCCCAACACTCGGGAGGCAGAGCCAGGCAGATCTCTGTGAGTTCGAGGCCAGCCTGGTCTACAAAGCGAGTTCCATGAAAGGTGCAAAGCTACACAGAGAAACCCTGTCTCGAAAAACCATTTAAAAAAAAAATGAAAAAGAGTACTTCCACTAGGCATGGTGGCACACTTTTAATCCCCAGCACTTGTGAGGCAGAGGGAGGTGGAGCTCTGTGAGTTCAAGGACAGGGCAAGTTCCAGCACAGCTAGGGCTACACAGAGAAACTCTGTCTTGAAATTTTCAAAAGGTGAAAAAAAAGGAAAAGGGGTACTTCCACTGCCTATTTATACTTAAACTTTGTTGCAGTATAAAATGTTAATCTGTATACAGCAATACCTAAAATTTACCAAATAAAAACAAACTTACCTAACTGTTTATGTGTTTAATAATTAAGTTAATTTGTACATTCTATTATACTGTCAAGTGCTGAGTATTTAACTTGGGAAAATGTCTGGGGTTTAGGTAGGCTGAAAGTTCGGTTTCCCTACACAAAACAATGGAATTTAAGGCATAATTTGTCAAAACATATGAAAACTACATACATAATAAAAATACATATTAAAAAAGAACAAAACAATAAACTCTAGTTAATGATTACTTCTGGGGAAAAAAACAAGAAATGAGATATGGCAATATCTCCATAAGTACAATAAGCAAGCTGAAAATACACATTTGCTTTTAAAAAAAAAAAAACCCAAAGAGCAGCAAATCTTTACATTTGCATTTTACTCACTAGGAAACACAGCAAACAATTAAGAAAAAAGTTATGAAGATGAACTTTCACATTGGACTTTGTGTTTTCTTCAACATTTGTATGTGGAACAAATTATTTTTATTGCTAAAAGATAAATGAAAGAAGGTTCCATTCATAGTAAGCATCTTGGGAACACCACTGGTTGATATCCAGCCTATTTCTCTGTTTCTTCCTTTCAGTTTTTCACTGTAACTCCTCCAACAATAGGTGCTGAACATCTCCATATAGCAGGTACCACACTAGGTACTGACAGTACCAAAATAAAGAGTATGGCTCCAGTGTTCAACACGCATATTATATGCAGAAGCACTGTCTTACAGTTTTGTGCAATGATAGAAAAAATCTAATGTGCAGCATTTGCTACATTAGCCACTAGCAGATGTATATACTGAGCATGTAAAATGTGGCTTGCCTGGCTGCTAAACTAAAATGTTAGTATCATTTAACTGAAATGAGTTTCAGTAGCCATTTGTGGCTACTGTCTACAGAACTGCACAGGAAACGTACACAGGAAACTGGAGGACAACAGATGGCTGTTCTAGGCTAAGGTGAACACTAATCTACAAGCATGGAAGATTTGAGGGCAATAGGAAAAACATTACAGGACATGAGCCCATTACAGGACAGCTTCTGGAAAAATGGAAAGCAAATTCCTGAGTCATGAATAAAGGCCATCAATCCATGAGAGATCCAGATAATTAAAGCCTGGGGCACAAGATACGAGGAGAGTCACAGCAGTTTTGAATTACTAAATAGACAAACCCAGCAAGGCAGGTAGAGAAGAGGTATTGAGGGAATAAAATCATGTGCAGGAACAGGACAAGGAAAAGTCAACTAGGTGTCATGTTTCAAGCTGGACTATGAGAGAAAGCCACTGATGAGCCAAGGTGGTAATTAGGATGACTTAGATTTAGACATGCTCATAGCTATGGTAAAATTAGTGTAAAATACAGAAGGTAAAATTGTAGAAAACAATTTTAAAAACTGACATAATGTCCACTTTCTTATAAAAAGCTTGACAACCCTTTTCAAATGAATGAACTATGAATAAATTGCTTTCCTAAACTAACTTATTTATGCAAACAAACTTCATCTACTATATTCAAATACTTAACTGAACTCATTGACAAAAACAAAGTAGACAGATATTACTACAAAAATCAGTACTTCAACTTACGTGTAACTCAAAGTCATTATAAGGTCTATATGGAAATGAGAATTAGAGACATAGTCTTCTTGTTAATCTCAAATATTAGGCTATTATCAGGACGCTTAAAGAATCAAACAAATTCCAAAGCTGAAAGCTTTCAAATAAATGAAAAGTTATACAGACACAGTAAGTCTACTTTAACAATGAAAACAACATAATTCCTATAAAGTAAAAATTTATAAACTCCAATTTGGTTTCATCTTAAGACTACACAAACTCCTAAGAGTTACTAAAAAAAATACAATTTTTACTTTGGTGATTCAACATTCTCTGGCTATCCCATATACTCTTAATAAATTCGTCTTGATGCTAGATATGAAACCATGCTTCCATTCATAGGTTCTTTTCAGAGGGGCTTCAAAAACAAAATAATTTTACAATTCAGACTTAAACAACTATTTCCAAAGACATTACAATGTACAATGGACAACACTGTATAGCAATAAAAGGTAACGGAAAAATATATTCAGTTGGCAAAAGCCTAACCAATGCATTTTCCAGGCAAGCTTAAAAAGTTGTGGAATAAAGTACTTTTTGAGTAGTATAAGCAAAAGTAAGGAACTCTATTCATGTGCAAAATAGAACCGCTGTATTCCTTTTGTAAGTATAAATTCTGGAATTGAATATGAATATGGCTCCATGACACAACTTAGCTGTAAGGTGTAAATCAAACAAAAGTTCTAGAGTCACACTCACTGTGAGCACCTCAATGCATCCTTACTGAGAATCACAATGTCCTTCAAGTAATCTAACAAAACCTAACGAAAGATGCAGAAGCCCAAGCAGTGTGACTACTAAAAACCTCTCAAGCTGTGGGAAGTGGGTTCAACTACAAATGACCAGCAAAAGCCAGTCAGGTCTGTGAGGACAAATCAGGAAAGGGAGGTTATAGGGAGAGCTGACTTAGTAGTCTCAGCTTACACTCTTACTAAAATAATAACAATCTGGCCAAAACCTTCGTCTATCAAGTTAGGTGAAAGCTCTAGGTCAGATGCAGAAGCATCTTTTTATGGGGATAGTGCTCCAAACCAGAACCCAAGTCTTTTCATCAAAGGCTCTTTGCTGACACACACCATAAAAACTCACTTTCAGTTTTCTCCAGTGTCCCCTTGCCTCAAAGCAGGGAAACAAAGGCTTAATTTCACTAAACAAATGACTAGCGCCCTCTGTCAAAGCTGGTTTATCACTGAGTCTTAGGGTCTCAAAAGACTGCAACTCCTCAGATGAGAGGGAGCAAAGGGCTGAATACAGATCTGTACAGGAAGCTAACAGTTCATCTCTACAGCAACTTTATTCAGTATTTAACATTACTTCACACTTCAAAATGGAGTCACTATCAAATGAAATAAAACAAGTTCCATTTAAACTTAATTTCAAACGCTATTCTTTTTTTTAAATCAGTACAATAACACTATCTTTAAAATTCACCTTCTTTGAAAGTGCAGAAGAAACAGGAATGTTGCATTTCCACTATCTTTTGAGCATCCCTACATAATTATATAAACGATGTTAGTGTTAAATAAGTAAGGAAACAGAATCTGATGATGTAAGGACAGCAAATCAGTGACAAATTAAATAGGATCTGGGTCATCAGACATTCCTAGACTTCATTTACATTTCTTCTATAACTTATCCAATGTTGTCTACGTTTCTCTAACACTCTACTATACAAAATATAACCCCAAACTTACATTTCATTCTTTCAGGAGTATATATAAAAATAATACTTTATGAACTACTGCCTTGGAACTCAGCCATAAAATCATACATTATATATAAAAATCATCCTAAATGCTGGCATATATGTCAGACAATTTGTTCTGGTACTAAATATACATTATAAACATGTTTCTCTTTGGAAAGTGTTCACAATTATTTCAACTGTCAATTCCATTGTGTAATTTTTAAATTTTTCAGGAGGTGTATCCGTTGTAATCGGCTAGTTCCAATTAAATATTACATCAAAACAGTTCAATGTAGTCACATGACAAATAGAGAAAGAGGGAAAAAAAATTCTTACCTGGTAGTTTCTTTTCTCAGATAATGTATGTCCATCAGTCCTCACCATAGAGTCGTGTCCTTTCCTCACAGTACTGGAGGCAATCAAATAGAACTGTCACTCAAGGGTCGTGTCACAGGAAGGACCGCCCACCAGTTCTCCCTCTAGAGTGGAATTATCCAAAAGCCATCAAAATTACTAACATGTAAATACATATAACAATAGCAAAAACATTCAACATGACATATAAAATGCAAACAGAACCAAATCAAGAAGTAGCTGTCTTACACTCTACCCCACCTTTTCTCTTGGGTATTCAAGGCAGGCACTAGACTCTGAAGTAGAGATTGTCTAATATGAAAACTTGCCCTCACATCTACTCCCACCATGTCAGTCACCAGACATTACACACAAAGAAGACACTTTTAAAGTGAATGAAAACAAAGTTGACTGAAAAGAAAAGAAAAAAAAAAAAAACCTACCCCTAACTTTTATTTTCTGGTCCTAAATGGTCTCTGGTTATTTTGAGAATATCCAGTTAACTCAGATTCAGTCATTTAACTAGATGCTCCCACCCCAATGCCTATACTTCACTACTACTTCACTACTAGGAATGTAGCCATTTTATACATTGATTCATGTCACTCACAAAGCTTATTTTCACACTGTGAGATGTAAACACATCATAGTTTTAAGATCATTGTTAGATTAAAAACCCAATCCAATGTTCTATCATCATCAACTCCAATGATGAAGAACAAATGCCTGCCTTTCAGCCCTCCAATTTCATGCACACTGCAATAGAATTTACTTTTTGGCATGAGAGAGGGGGTTAATGATACTCATTTCTTAACCTGGGTAAAAAAGCATAAAATAAATATACACTCTGCATGTCAGATTTTAAAAAACAAATCGAAACTGAGATAAGAATTACCATAAATGTTATTTCAGAAATATGTAATAAAATTCAAAGTTCAAAGATTCAAAGGTAAAAAGTACATGATACATTTTCAGGACAAATAGCTTTAGTAGTACAAAAAATTTACTCTGAGAAAGTAGTATATATAGCTACTGAACTAATAATGTTGCTATCCATTATAATTTTGCATTCAAATTTAAAACAACTGATTTTTACTATCATATAAAATGTACATTAGGACAAGAGAGTAGAAGCATCTAATCTACAATCCGTGAAGAGGTGAGGACTGGGAGATGGTTCAGTGGGAAAAGCGCCGGCCTTGCAAGCATGAGGGCTGAGTTTCCAGCCCAGAGCCAGCCTTGGGTGGCGGAGGGCAGACAGGCAGATCCCTGAAGCTCACTGGCCAGCCAACCAGCACACCCCAATCAGTGAGCTTCAGGCTCAGTGAGGGTGATTCCCATGGGGGAAGCTTCATGTGGCTCCTGAAGACACCTTCCACATCCACACACCAAATATACTGCACACATACACAGCACCACACACAAACTCTTCAAATTTCTACACAAATTAGTACATGCATATACATATGTCTGTGTTCATGGGAACCGTGCCCAAGAGGATAGATGAGGGTGTCAGGTGCCCTGGAGCTCGAGTTACAGGTAGTTGTGTGGCTTGTGACATGGGTGCTAGGGTGCTAGGAACCAAACCCAAGTCCTCTGAAAGAGCGGTAAGCACTTACAACCAATGAGCCATGTCCCAAGCTCCACAATTTAAAAACAAAAACCCAAACCAGTATTACTACAAAGGTCAAATACAAAGATTTACAAATATGTATCCATTACCTCTAAAACACAATCTGTTAAGATAATTTTCAAATGAAAAACTAACATTAGCCGGGCAGTGTGGTGCACGCCTTTAATCCCAGCACTCAGAGGAGGCAGTGGCGGGTGGATCTCTGTGAGTTCGAGGCCAGCCTGGTCTACAAAACGAGTTCCAGGAAAGGCACAAAGCTACACAGAGAAACTCTGTCTCGGAAAAAAAAAAAAAAGAAAGAAAGAGAGAGAGAGAGAGAGAGAGAGAGAAGAGAGAAAAAGAAAGAAAGAAAAAAAAAGAAAAACTAACATTATTGAACAACATTCTACAAAGAATCAATATAATAAAGCCATCTCCTAGCTCCTACTACATACACTAAAACAATTAGGAAGTTGCAGAAGCTATGGTTTTACTCAGTTTTGACCATCCTACATGGTATGTGTTGGACTGAAATACTTTAAGATGCCCAACTCTAAGCAAAAGTGTAAATACTCACTAGAAACTTTTTATGTGCTTTTAGAATAAAGAATGTCTCTCGAAAATAAGGATTTTTTAAAATCATTATATAATTACTGCTATAAATGTAGTCATCATTTAAACTGTTTGCATTATTATTTAATTTATGCCATGCTTGAGATTGAACACAGAGCCTTGCAAATGCTGGGTAAGGGCTATATCATAGTGCTATATTCCTGAGTCAGGAATTGCAGTATTTTAAAGGAAAAATTACCAAGCAAACTGGATGTCCCATTAGGTTTGGCTGTCACCAAAATAAATAAATATATAAATAAATAAGCACATGGTATAGTTTCTAAATGGTAATCTTGTTTTAATATAATAGTATTAATAAAGTTTTAAGATAGGATCTATCTTAATATAGTCACGCTAACTGAATCCAGTGGACAATAGTCTGAAATTTGAGTGACTATATTTTATAGAAGAATACTTTCCTCCTTGAATATATTTTGTATAAAATTCCATATAGTACACTTTCATTATATAAATTTCATCAAAAGATCTATTTAAAATCTAAAATTAACAAGGTAATTTTTAATACCTTAATGCCACATAACTTTAACAGCACATCCTAATTATATAAAAAAAGACAATTAGGAGTAAAATTTTATGTGCTAAGTAATACTTTAATAATAAAAATTAACATTTCATCAGTAAATTTTAAAAGAAAAATATTTACTTTGAAAGATGACAGATCGTAAACTTTATTTACTCTTTGCTTTCTTCTATATTTCTAGATTCTAATCAGGATAGGAACTAATATTCTATATTAAAGGAGCATTATCTCTTTTTAATAAAAAGGAGAAAAATTAAAGGTACTTTTTATATTCTTCTGAGCAAGTATGAAAGATGAGCATCTGTCACTACTGTCTTCTACTACTGTGTTGTATTAAATAAGACAATGAACGGTACAGTGTGGTGATACTTCACATTGGGGGGATGCAATGAGGTGTGATAAATGAAGGACGCCATTACATCTATTTACCTAAGACTGTCTGGGGAAAGAAGAAAATGAGCAACCAAGAACAGAAATTTCATTTCCCCAAAACAGGTTTATACACTGTTTTCCCACAAAGTCCTACAAATAGTTAAGTAGTCATAATAGTATGTATTTTACAAACAATGAAATTTTCTCTTAAGCAGAGATATCTTCCATAAAATAAAGACTAGCTTTATTCATCCACTTTAAATCAAACCAAATATACAAAAATAGTAGTTTTGCTATATAAACACCAGTCATTTCGGGTATTAAGAAAACAGAACTAATGCAATGAGCTCTCCAGTGCTCCCTGATCACTGTAGGAAGGAAGAAGGGCTTTGTGGCTGACAGGAAAGGCAAAGTGAAAGCCAATCAGAGTTCAAAGTTCTTAACAGTCCAAACAAGTTCCAAGTCAGAAAGAGGAAACAAGGTAACTAGGATCTGCAGGCCAAATAGACAGAAGGCTGAAGAATTGCACTCCAAGGACCTGAACAGAGGATTCCTATTAAGGCTTAAGTTGAGGAATGATTTGTATCTGAATGCGGAAAAAGCTATAGCCTCCAGAAGTCTTCTGAAAACTTAGGGGTAGTGGAAACAATCCTCTCAGTAGCAAATCAAATAAGCTTTAGAAAAAGACTGGAGGGACGTAAGAAAGCTTAAAATCAAGCTCAGAAAAGATTAGCCCAATTCTAAGTAACACAATGTCACCTCAAACAGCCCCAACAATACATAAACCAACCCAACGAACTAGCATAAAAGAACCCAACAGTAAGTATACGATACTTACCAAAAAGCGGGAACACACACACTCATAATAAGTTGACAAAGAGCAAAGGAAAGTAAACACAGCAATTAGACAAATGGTGGAATTATCAGGCAAAGATGTTAAAGCAAGTATCATTAACTATGTTCTAGACTTTCAAATACACACGTCAACGCAAGGTCTGCCTGCTACTGGACAAAATCCCTGACAGACACTTCAGTCTCGAAGGTTTCAGTCCAGTAGGACTGATAAGCGATGCTAAAGCAGATGTCTAACTCTTAGGAGCCAAGAAGTAGAACAAAGAAGGGGGCAGAGCAAGACACACACTTGGAAGACTGGCCCCCAGTGAGGACTACTGCTTCCTCCAAACAGTTTCCCCCTCCTCCTCCTCCTCCTCCTCCTCCTCCTCCTCTTCCTATTTTTGAATCTACCAGTGGATTAGATGATTATGAAGGACTGTCATAAGCTGATCATCTCACGAAATGATTTCATAGTGGTTCTCAAAGATAGGAGGAAGTTATACTTTATCAACCTTCTAGGCATCTTAATCAGTCAAGGTGACCATCAAAATTAAATATCAAACAAGGTTTGTCAGCACAAACAAATTTCTTTACGGTTACAATTTCTGTCTCTTTACTTGGATGGCCTGATAACAGATTATCATAAAACGATAAAAAAACACGCCAAAAAGTGAGTACACAAAACTGATAAAATCTAAGCTAGGTCAGTAGACCAGTTATGACAATTTCTGATATCAAATAGTTGACTATATTATGTAAGACCATACCCTTGGGGAAAGCTAGAATACAAATATATGGAACATCACTGAGTTCATGATCAAAATTTATATTAATTATATTATTATTATATTAAGGCTCAGCAAGATCTCCTAAAAAAACAAATGTAAAGAAAAATACAAGTGGATAAACAGTAGATTATATGCAGCAAAAGAGAAGTTTAATGAACTTGAAGACAGGAAAAAGATCACAAATGAAGACGGGTGAGAAAAGGCACTGGGAAGCCAAGAACTGAAGGAACGGTACACTGTGTGCACTGTGAATTACCGTCCGTTACGTCAGTGAACTGCGATGCTGTATCCGAAGGCTACATTAATTTAACTACTGCTGCAGGAAGAGTAAGACAACGCCGCATTTTCTAATTTTGAAATGGAAAA